CAGCAAGCCACTAGCCCTGAACATTTGCGTACCCATTTTCCCAAAAATCCCTACTGTCCTTTGTGCCATATAGCAAAAGATACCGCCATGAGGGTTTCACATGTCAAAGATGGCAAAGCCGATGATTTTGTTGATCCCCCAAAGCAGCCGCTAGAACAGCTTGCTACGGATGATGTTATCTTAGCTAAAGGGTCCGAACACATGGGTGTAGGTATAGGGGGAATAAGGTCGCACCATGTCATCCGCGATGCGTACTCCGGTGCGCGTGTTGCATACCCATTGTCCAAACGTACTGCTGACGCGCATGCTCGCAACTTTAGACATTTCTTAGGACTGCGTGGATCAGAGCTCACCACCCGAACGTTCATCAAAATGGACGAAGCCGGCGAGCTTGAGCAGGCGGCACATGCCGTAGGCATGGTTCCAGAAACCTCGTTGCCGAACAGATGGCCCCACAATGCCATCCTCGAGAGAGATGTTCGAGAGGAAAAGGAATGTTGCCGCACTATTCACCTCCAATCTGGCCTTCCCTATGAGTACCACACATATAGCTATCCATATGCTTGCCTTTCAATGTCATTCGACAAGCCTTCAATAGCTGACCCCGACAAAACCCAATGGGAGTCGCTTACTAGGAATAAGTTTGATGGCATGAGGTTATGCTTTGGTCAGTTAGTGTATTACCGTAGGAAGTCACCCACCAAAAGGACTTTGGAGCCCAACATGTCACCTGGTCTGTTTTTGGGTTGGAGGATTGATCCCGGTTTCAGATATAGAAATGTTCTTAGGGTGCTAGATTATCAAGAGTATCGCACTAGAGGTGGGAATTCAGCCGTTGATGTTCCAGAAGCAGAAATCTTTGTCCCTGAAGGTGATCCTGTTTTTCCAGTAGGTTTTTCACGCCACCAAGCTCTCATCAGGGGGGATAACCCAGATGATCTTAAGTTGCCTGAATATGCCTTAAAGGATGTGCCCTTCCCAAAGGAGGGCGGAATAGCCTCACCCTCTACACCAGGTCTCAAAAGTCGTTCTGTTTACATAACAGTAGACCGTATCCTTAAATGGAAAGAGACCCCTGGTTGCAAAGGCTGCACTGGCCACTCCCGTGCGCACACTGAAGAGTGTAGAGCCCGCTTCTCAATGTTAGTTGAAAAAGAAAAAGAAGCTGAAAAGGAAAAGAAAGCTCCACCCCCCGAAAGTGAAACTGAAGCGGAAGACAAGGATGATGAAGCACATGGCATCATCTTCCGTGGTGAGGAAATCTCTGACCCTATTCCCTCACACCTCTCCCCAGAGGACAAAGAACTTTTCGATGAAATTTTCATAAGAGGTGAGGTTCCAGGGTCAGCCGAACCCAGTGCTCCGCCTGAGCATGCCGTTCCTGTTTCTGGTGTAGCTATTCTTCCCCAAGTTGCCAATCGATGTTCCGACCTATGTCAAAAGTCGCTGCCTGTTTTTGGTTGCCCCGCTGTAGGTAAGCCAACTAACCGCGATAATCGTAGGAGCCGGAAAGCTGCCAAGAAAGCTTCCAGACCCAATGCCAAGTCAGCCATGTTTGAATTTGCTTGTTCTGAGGACTCCCAGATGGGTTTTACTCACCAAGAATATGGCATCAATCATGTTAGACTTTGTAAGGATAGGATAGACCTGGGAGATGAGTCACAATGTGAGCAACTAGACTATCAGATAGATGAAGCCGCTAAGGTTGCACCTCCACATATGTGGGCCTCTATCCCTTGCACGTCCGGATCCCCTTGGCAGTACATCAATAGGAAGAAGGGTGGTGCCGCATTCGTGAGAAAGCTTGCCCGCCAGGTCAAAGAGTCCAAACGGTTGTTTAAGAGTTTTTCTAAACGTGCTGAAAGGGTTCTCAATCATGGTGGTACTGTAACGTTTGAATGGCCAAGACCTTGCTCTGGCTGGAAAAGGCCTGACGTCGTAGCATTCTTTGAGAAGCATCCCCAGTTTATGACCGTTGGTTTTGAAGGGTGTACCGTAGGTTTAACCGACAGAAATGGTTATCCCATCAAAAAGCCATGGAAACTCAAGACCACTTCTCCCCGAATTGTAGAGGCGTTTCAAGATATGCGGTGCCGATGCCAGCAACCTCATTCCAGATGTGAGGGAGCTGAGACCACTCGCTCCGCGATGTATCCGCCCCAAATGACTAATCTAATTGCGCAAGCTTTGTATCCCTCAAAATGTGCCCAGCAGTCCGTTCCTGCTATGCCTTGCCAACCGGCAACTAGCGAACCTCAACCCCATAGGGAAATTGAGCAGCACCTTAAGCACGTATCCCCATTAGCTGGTTTTGAAGATTTAGCCCTAGCTGTTGAATCAGACCCCGCCGCTAATAGGTTGGTTACAGAACTTCTTGACCACGAACAATTGATCGCCCAAGCCTTCCACCTGGAAGACCCAAAGGCGCCAACGCCTGAGATCAAAGCAATGGTCACCAAGCTCTTATCCCGTGCAGAGATGCTGTCCAACCCCAAGGCCCTTGAGGCAATTCGCGCCGAAGCCGATGGTTTGGTTAAGGCTGGTACCTGGGATCTTGGCTCGGTCCGCGAAAAGGAAGATGTGCGCAAAGAAGCTAAAGCTTCGGGTGTGTCAGTGCACTTTGGTCAACTCATGACCATCGCGTCCATTAAATTCTACGAGCTCGCAGACCACCTTCACAAAATGAAGGGGCGCATCGTGTACAGAGGAGACTGCGCAAAGGACGAGCATGGTGCAGCCGCGGTTTACCAAGAACTCGGCGCAAACCCCACCTCCGTCCAAGGGCTAAACGCCTGCCTGGCGTACGGGTCGCTGCCGGGTAACCGCGTGACGGCTGCAGACGCAGTCAAAGCTTACGTCCAAGCACTGTTATCTTCCAAATACAAAACCTGGATTGAGCTTCCCCCGGAGCTCCGCCCTAAGTATTGGAAACAACAGTTTGTTAAGCCCGTAGTCCTCTTAATTAAAGCCTTATACGGTCATCCTGATGCCGGAGGCCTGTGGGAACAACACCTAAAAGTCATCATCAAGAACCTTGGTGGACAGGAAGTTCTAGAATACCCGGGAAACTTTTACTTTCCAGATACAAGGTTACTCTTGTCAACTTATGTAGACGATTTAACTCTAGCTGGCCCCGCCGACCAGCATGATGCATTCTGGAGTAAGTTAACTTCTGTGGTAGACATAGAACCCCCAGAGCCCATCTATAGGATTCTTGGACGCAACCATGTTGTTACCCCACTTCCCAAGACCGAAGGTCATGAAAAATGTGCAGCCTTCCAAGCCCAAACTGGCATGGTTTTTATATGGCAGACTACGCTCAGCAGACCGTAGATTTGTATAAATCAATAACCGGTGTCACCAAACTCAAGCATGCTGCCACGCCATTTCCACCTGAAGGATCCATCACCATTGAAGGTGATGAAACTAAAGGGGAACTAGCTCCAAATGCATGTAAGATTTTGATGAAAGCCCTTTGGTTAGGTAGACTTGCACGTCCCGATATCATCAAGCACGTCCCGATATCATCAAGCCTATCAATGATCTGGCCACAAAGGTCCAGTCGTGGTCCAGGGGGGATGATAAGAAGGTCCTAAGATTAATCCAGTACATAGCCTCAACCCCACACTATAGGTTGGTAGGTACCATTCAGGACAAGCCTGAAGACCTAGAGCTCAGACTATTTGTCGATGCCGACTTCGCCGGCGACAGATCAACTGCACGCTCAACCTCTGGTGGCTTTCTGGCTTTAACTGGCCCTAGTTCCTTCTTCCCACTTGCATGGATTAGCAAGCGCCAAACATCCACTTCTAGATCGACCACGGAAAGCGAGGTTGTTAGTTTAGCCCATTCGCTTTATCAAGAAGGCTTGCCTGCTTTACAGTTATGGGAGCTGTTGCTTGCACGCTCCGTAACCCTTAGGGTCCACGAAGATAACCAAGCAACAATCCTAGTTGTGAAGAAAGGATATAGTCCCAAGCTTCGCCATATAACTAGAACACACAAAGTAAACTTGTCTTGCCTGTCTGAAATCTTCAGAGATGACTCTGCCGAAATAGAGTACATCCACACCGATGATCAGGCGGCAGACATATTCACCAAGGCATTGCCTCCACACAAATGAGCAGCAGCACTAATCCTTCTAGGAATCCGTACTGACCTTCCCTTAGACCTTAAGTCCAAAGCCTAGGTCGCTGTGAACGTCCGTTCACGCGACAGTAGTTGCTTAGGATACTGCCAATGCGCAGTGCGTGTGGAACAGGCGAGGGGGGAGTTGAAATATACCGACCCCTGAGACCCACTATGTATAGCATAGGTAGTAGGTCATGTGTAGAGCACTGCCGTAGCTATGAGAACCATTAGTCCCCAAGTAGTACATCCAATATATGTACAGTTGTAGCACCACATGTATAGAAGCGTTATACATGTAGAGTAGTCATAGGTAGAAGTAGGTACTTACCCCTAACCCTAACAACAACCAGGGTCAGGGGATAACTAAGTACGCTGCTGACCCCGTGGCTCAAGTGCCCCATAGCAAAAAGGGGTGCTTGTTCTTGTTTTCATGCGGAGTGTTGGTGAATTGGGTTCTGTTTTGGGGTTCCCGGTTTGTCCCTCCGTTTGTCTATCACAGAATGTAATGTTGTGTCATACCCGTAGATAACATTGTCTCGTTCCATCTTATCTCATCTCGTCTCATACAATCTCATATCAAATCAATTATGCTCCAGTATACATTCCAGAAAATTATCTTTCATTCTTTTGCATTGTATTGGTTGAACAGACCCAGCGACTGACGTAGAGTAGCCATAATTACTAATTACGGTACTAATGCGTTTAATGCATGCCATGTATTGTATTAAACTCTGTACCTTAACATGTTTTTGTTTCCATCCTTGATATCCTTTTATTTTTATTGTTTTTGATGATCGTCTTTACTTCACTACTTCCTTGTTGTCGGGGCGATACCTGTTTTTTTCTTAGCGTCACGAAGCCTCGGCCAGGCGGCTTGTGCCAATGAGGTGCAACTCTCCCAGCAAGCAGCACAAGCTCAACAGACTGTGCAGCAATTCAGGCACGAAGCGCGACACAAGCAGCGACACAAGAGTTGTGTTTGACAGCTGTCAGCAACATGAACAATATAAAGAGGTTTTAGCATGTTTTAGCAACATGCAAAACAGCATCTTGAATATAACCCAGCATGAACAAGGCACAAACAGTGTTGAAGCATTAGCATTTTATGGGGCAATTGTGTCACACTTGAACCCTCCAGGAAGTGAGAAGTTTCCCTGTGGCGATTCGAAAGACCTGAAAGTTTCGACGCGCTCGAAATGAGCAAGCGGAGCAAGTGTAGGAAGCGCAGTATATAAAGATTGCGAGTGTGGGAGGAACTTGCATGGCCAACACATTTTACACATTTTAGGCCCTTTACCTGGGTCTACACTACTACAAGCCAGATATCCTGGGTTTGCAGGTCCAGTATGAAAGAAACACTTCTGTGGGGAACTGTTTTGAGGTGCTTTTGATGGTAAAGATCTTGTGGAAATACTGCGCTTGAGTTTCATTCCGCAAAGGCAAAGAACCGTCGAAAGGGTTGAAAGAGCCCTTCACACAGTGGTCGTCGAACCGGGCACAGTTTCACCGGCGAGGCCAAATAGCAATTTTTAATACAGCCCTTTGTCCCACAGGTCGTTGACCGTGGACGATTCAGATCTGGACATGTGTGAGAGGTATGACATGCACATTCCAAAAAAAGTAACACGTTGTCATACAGTCATACACTTTGTTTTTTGTGTTTTTCCCAAAACGCATCTCCGATGCTTGAGTTCTCGTTTAGTTTACTTCGCCGCGGGTGTCCTTTGGAGGAAGCGAGACGGAAACGACGACATCATAAACGGGAAATCCGTCAGAAATAGCTGGGGGAGAGCTCCGTTGGGAGGGAGCGAGACAGAAGCGACGACATCATGAACGGTCAGGAAACAGTGGGAAATAGCTTGGGGAGAGCGCTCCGTTGGGAGGGAGCGAGACTGAAGCGATGACATCATGAACGGAAAGGAAACCGAGGGAAATAGCTCGGGGAGAGCTCCGTTGGGAGAAACGAGACGAAGCGGCGACATCATGAACGGAATGAAAACCGTGGGAAATAGCTTGGGGAGAGCTCCAATGGGAGGAAGCGCGTGGACGGACAGGAAACTGTGGAAAATAGCTTGGAGAGAGCTTCGTTGGGAGGGAACGAGATGGAAGCGGGGACGTCGTGGAAGGACAGGAAACCATGGGGAATAGCTTGGGGAGAGCTCCGGTGGAAGGGAGCGAGACGGAAGTGTGGACATTGTGGACGGGCAGGAAACCATGGGAAATAGATTGGGGGGAGTTCCCTTGGGAGGGAGCGGGACGGAGCGGCGACATCATGAACGGAAAGGAAACCGTGCTCCGTTGGAGGCAGCCAGATGGAAGCGACGATATCATGAACGGAAAGGAAACAGTGGGAAATAGTTTGGGGCGAGCTCCGTTGGGAGGGAGCCAGACGGAAGCGACGATATCATGAACGGAAAGAAATAGCTTGGGGAGAGGTCCATTGGGAGGGAGTGAGATGGAAGCATGGACATCGTGGTGGGAAATAGCTTGGGGAGAGCTCCGTTGGGAGGGAGAGAGACGGAAGCGTGGACACGGTGGACGGACAGGAAACCGCGTGAAATAGCTTGGGGAGAGCTCCATTGGGAGGGAGCGACGACACCAAATTTCATCAAAATACGATTGTTCCGAAAAATCTGCGCGCCCAAGACTTGTCAAAGTCGTCAAAGTTTCCAAACCCTGGGACATGGGACATGCATAGGTTCGTTGGCAGGGTGTGAGACTAAAAGAGCAGAGCTGTTGGCACAGATTTTTCAGGACAAATTCTATCAACGCGAAAGACTTCTCAAACGGTTTCTAAACGCTGGGCACAGGGACATGCATGGGAAAAAGTTCTTTGCTGGAGCGGTTTTCATTTTGCACGGCGTTCTGTCCGTCGATGCTAGGTTATCGCTACCTTCGCAGCGAAGCAAACTAAACGAGAACCCAAGCATAGGATATGCGTCAGCGTGAACAGGCAGGTGGGGAAATAGCTTGGGAAGAGCTCTGCTGGGAGGGAGTGGCACTGAAAATACGGGGCTGTTGGCACGGGTTTTGCACAGAGGAGCTTTAGACGAGCTTTACACAGAGGATATTTTAGACAGAGAAGCTTGAACACAGGGAGGACTTTACACACAGAATCTTTTACACAGAGAAACTTTTACACAGGAAAGGTTTTACACACACACACTTGCTCAGAAATATCTTATCGAATTACTGATGTGGAATGCATCAAACGTGCAAAAACACCTCATTTAAATCTGGCAGGCCTTAGTGAATGACACGGCGTGAAAACCAGTGTAGAAGAATTCTTTCTACGTCCTTGCTAGATGCAACTGTTCCATCTGACGAAGTCGGCAGTAATTCAGATTTCGACAACCGTACAGGTAAAAAATCAGGTTTGGTTTGAAAGCTGGTTGGAAAATCGACATGCCGGTTCTTGGCTTGGCCGGTCGCCATTTCGGAAAAGTGACATCGAAACTGTTGAAAATGGATGCAGGTACGCCAGACTGATCAGGTCTGGTATCACCACCAATTGCAAGTGTCTTCGTTGGCAGTAGACTTGCAATGGTGCTACTGTCCCCTGCTTAAAAGGTTTGAGTTGAAAATTCATTGACGTTTCAAACACAAAAAGGAAATTAACAAGACCAGCAAGTAGAAGTTTTACATCTTTTCAGATGGTCCACACACACGCCTCGCTGCCGCGAGGCTCTTTTTGACGTTCCAAGAGTGGTTCACAACGCTCTTATTAGTGCCCTGAAACTGGATGTAGCGATTTACGCGAGATCAAAATACAGGGAAGAAGTCTGCTGCTGAATTATGCCTAGGGCTCAGATCACCTCGATGTTCAGATCAATCGCTGATGTCAGAAAGGGCCTCCATTTGAAGGGCTTGATCTGACAAGTTGCGAGTCGATTCTGCCAAATGGCTGCCAAGGTGGGCAAAGTCTGCCGCCGAGAAGATCTGGACCGGATGCCTTGTCAGATCATCATCTGGGTCCTCGAGTCGTTCGAGAATGGCCATGTTGGCCTCTCGGTCATTGTTGAGAATGTTCCAGAGGATGGTGGCCAGTTGATGAATCTGGACCGGTGGCGGAGCAATGTCGACATTGGCGACTATGGAATCTGCATCAGCCATACTTGATTCTTGTCGCGAGGCTGGGCTTGTTGGAGCATCATAATGATGATGGTGTTCTGTTCTGTTGTGGATCTCTTCAGGGATATTGAAATGGCGACGCCAGTAATTGGCGAGTTGAGTCGATTGATCCCAAGAGTCTATCCATCCATTTCGACTAGCTCGAATGTGACCAATGATCCCATTGAAAAAGAACTCCGGTTGGTGGTTCCGATGGACCCCATGTTGGTCCACTTCCGTCACCATAAGGCGACAGAGGTCAGGTTGAGTTCGATCAGCATGAGGTGTGCGAACCTCAACGAAGTAGTGAGCATGGAGTTGACGTCTTTGCTCCTCGATCTGTTGTTGAAGTGGATATGCTTCTTCCGGTTGGGGAATGATAGGAGCTTGGTAGCTGGCTGTTGTGAACAGAGGAACCGATGATGATGGAACAGCATACTCAGGAGGATGGGAGTGGTTGGCAAATCCATATCCTGGACGCGTTGGGCAGGTTTGGCTTTCATGATGTCCAGTGGAATAATTGGAGAGATGACTGGACTCTGACAAATCGGTTGTGTTGCCTGTATGCCCAGCCGAGCGAGAGTGGCGGCGTGGCATGCTCATCGTCGAAGAGGGGAAGGTGAAACCGGCAACAAAGGAATCACGTTTAGTCATATTTCAGCTGGAGCCAAAAACAAGCAGTAGATGGACAGACACGTGACAAGGATTAGAGACAGGTTTGGAAAGGGCTGCCGGCAGTATTTATCTCATGGAAGCATGTTGCGGTTCGGAAGGGCCGCATGGCAGCTAACTCGCATGATGTAAGGTTGAGAGTGAGACGTAAAATAGCGGATATGTTCATTAGGAAAAAAGAATTGTCCTAGGAGGCCATATTCTTGACCCTCAGTCCAATGAGGTCGATGGGCATGAAGAAGATCGACCAAAAGTTCTTCTTCGTGGAGAACGAAGGTGTCGTCAGTCTCGTTTTGCCATCGTATGTCCATGGACGAGGGACGAAGATATCGATCCCATGTATACCAAATGTGTTGGCTGATGGTGTAAAGAAGGTTGTACACCGTGAAAGTTTCCAATCGACGAGTGTTGAGCAACACATTGTAGGTAAACAAAGCGAATTCTTCTTGGCGGCCTAGAGTGGGAAGGACCGCGCAGGTTGTCGAATCCATGACGTCATCATGGACTCTGTTCATGTGGGATCTCACTCCCTCCAAATTCACTATCACCAGGACATTTCGAAGACGTGGTGGCGTAGGAACTTTGCGCCATGAGTCACGGAAGGCATTGTGACGTTGTGAAGGATGAGGTTGCCACATGTCGTCGTCCCGGGATCGGGATCGGTCGCGGGCAATGTGAGCGGATCGAGATGAGTGAACCATATTGGCTGAAAATGTTCAGATGGGTAAACCTCAATGAGCCGGAAGAGAAGGTGAAGGAAAAGAAAGAAGACCAGTAAGAAGAGAAGAGACAAAGGAAGGAAAGAAGGAGGAAGAGGGACGGAAAAAGCGAACAAACCCGAGGGAGAGGGCAAACAACAAGAACAAACCGAAGAGGTAAGCAGCTGGACACAGATTTTCAGGATCGCAGCATTTAGTCCTCAGCGTCAGGTTCTTGAGGTGCATTGACCCGACCATATTGATCCATCTGCTTCAGAAGGCCCCATCGGAGTTTGCAGACTTGTGGGTCACGGTGGAGTCTTGCCCCGATAGTTTTCCATGAAGGGCGTGATCTTGTGTCCTGTTTCATGCTCGCTAACTCGCGATCATCTGCGTCTGTCCATTCTTTAAAAGAGGATTCACGAGGAGGATCATGTGGATCCGGTTGACGAAGATGCAAGGTCAAAGGTGGTGGAGCTCCCGGATTGGGTGTCAAAGTGACAGTGGAAGTGTCTGGGTGTATGCCGGTTGTTGAAATTGGTGTAGTGCGGGCATCATCAGGGGAGTTGTGAGCAGGACGATCATGAGTGGAGGCAGCTCGGTAAGATTCCCCATCATCGGATTCATCAGAATCCTCTTCCACAGGTAGGCGACCGGGATTTTCAGGCCGACTGGATAATGGCACCCGGGGGGCTGGTTCGGATTCGCTCTTTTGTCTTT